AGCAGCAATACAGAAACAGAGTACATGAAGTACTTAATAGTACATGAAGCTAACCTGACCAAACAGGATGACTTGCCTTATATGAGGGCAGTACAGTCATCCCTTGGTATCCATGGGGGATTGGTTCCAGGACCCTCCCACAAATACCAAAATCCATGGACCCTGAAGTCCCTTATAAATGGTGTAGTATTTACATATAATGCATGCACATCTTCCCATATACTGTAAATCATCTCTAGATTACTTATAATACCTAATATAATGTAAATACTATGTAAAGAGTTGCTATACTGTATTGTTTAGGGAATAATGACAAGGCGAAAAACATCTGTATGTGTTCTGTACAGACACAACCATTCATTTTTTTAAAAATATTTTTGATCCCTGGTTGGTTGAATCCACAGATACAGAACCCATGGATACAAAGGGCACACTGTATATCCAGCCAAAGAATAGCTTGTCTTATTTCTTACAATCCTTTGGCTATCATTAGTATCCAGTGTCTGAAGAGAAAGTGCAGATCTTGAGATCTGTTAACTGCTAGCTCGGTCTCTTAAGTACTTATCTGTTCATTAACGTAGATTCACTGAGGATCTATATGTAAACAACACTATTAGCCTATTCAGATTATTGTCTCTACTTGAAGGTAATAAAACTGTTTCTTTCGGATTACTTTAAAAATGGCTCCTCTCTTAATTCATACTGGCCTTTCCTAAAATCATTTCAGAAAAGTGAGATTTAGAATACCATACTACAGAATTAGGGTAAACATAGAAATTTCTTAATCATAACAGCTGTGTTACTCTTAAGGAACTCCCTATCTTAAGGATGAAGAATCTAAACATTAACATAATAAGATATGAGGCTTTATACTTGGCAAATGAATTAATTTAAAAGTTGAATGCTACATAAATTTTTTAAGTCAACGCAAAGGGATATAACTGTAAAACCAAACACTGAAAAAGGGGGAAAGAAAACACAAAATAATTAAAGTTTAAGCTCTGAAAATATTTTTGGATTGCAATATAAAAAAGTAACAATATTTTATTACTATGGAACATATTTGTACCTGAACACATCCAGCTAACATCTCATAGAGAATGTGAGCACGTTTTTTCATCACTCTGACATCTACCATGGTGGAATCTGCACACTGACCATTTTGAATTGGATTTATAAATCTATTCCTGAACTCTTTAATGGATCCAAGCAAATTTTCCTTGATAAAGTTAACCATACAATGATCTAAGAGAAAGAAGACATTAATTCATTAAAAACTCGGAAAAACTCCCTGATGAAATACTCATGTCAAAAATGCATGTCATAAAAGCATTAGAATTAAGCTACAAAGAAAGAATATCAAGTACTGAATAAACATTGGTAATAAGCCTGACCTAGAACTAGATTACCTAAATCAGATGAGAAATTGAACTAAAAATCATCCCTAAATACTAGGCATGAATGTTTTAAAAGAAAAACTTAAGGATATTTTATTCTAACTCACTATTCTTTATAACAGATATGAAGTACAAAACAAGTGGTCAGTCTATCACTCTAACCATGATTTTATGGTCAGTGAGGGTACTGTGTGAAGAAAACAGATACTGAATCAAAATGATAAAAGTAGGTAATAAGTTACTATACCAAAATTTATATTAACTGATTCAGTTCCAGAAGTTCTTAATAGAGCTACCAATTGTCCTATACTATATAGGACCACAATGTGAAATACAATTTCTATAAATAGGGTAACAGATCAGAAGAGGGAAACTAGAACAGATGAAAACAAACATAACAGGCTGGACGCAGTAGCTGACACCTGTAATTCCAGCACTTTGGGAGGCTGAGGGAGGAGGACTGCTTGAAGCCAGCAGTTCGAGACCAGCCTGAGCAACATAGCGAGACCCTGTCTCTCTAAAAAATTTAAAAAACAGAATAATTGGCCAGGCTTGGTAGCACATGCCTATAGTCCCAGCTACTAGGAAGGCTGATGCAGGAAAATCCCTTGATCCCAGGAGATTGAGGTTGCAGTGAGCTATGATGATGCCATTGCACTCTAACCCAGGAAACAGTGTGAGACACTGTCTCAAACAAACAAATATTAAATACAGGCTAAAGTGAAATAATAACCAGTATTACAAATAAAAAAATAGAGAACAGTTAAGTTACAATAAATATACTAACAGACTGCAACAAACATAAAAATAATAAAAAGCCTTTACAACAGAATGAAGAAAAAAGTAGGAGATTATAAAGGGAAATTTTTAATTTGTTAGGTGCAGAATAATCTCATGTTCCCTTCTTTAGTGTCACCACATACATATGAAAATGAGGGAAATTTACAAGTCACTTCCTTGGGTTCACATTACCTGTCCTCTGCCTCAGCAAACTATCCTACCATGGATTCAGGACAGCACTTCTCCGATTTCCAACTTCCTGAAATGTTCATACGTAGCATTTTTTAAATTTCTTAACAGTACCTCCTCCAAAACTGCATGCATGTCCTTACAATATCTCCTGAGTAACAATATATGCATATGTACTTTTTAAAGCAATCACTTCTGATACTTTTGAAATATTTCAAATTTCATATTTATATGTGAACACTCAAAATGGCACATCTCTTCACTGTGTTTACCATTCATATTTATAAAACATCTCACTTGAAAAGTATGGTATTCTTTCAGAGTAGACTAAGATGAACCAATGTAGATCACAGTTAGGGACTAAACGACAGAAAGGCAAAAAGGCAAAAATATATCCAAGGCAATACCAATACTCTACAGCATAATCACAGATATTAACTCACACTCAATTAGGTTATTCTGAAGTGGTGTTCCTGTTAAAATAATCCTCCTCCTTGATCGTATAGAATTCATAGCTTTTGAAACAGCAGATGCTTCATTTTTTAGAATATGGCCTTCATCACAAACGACAAAGTCAGGGCCTATAAAAATGTAGAAAAACAACACTGAATTAAAATATAACAAAATAAATAAAACTGAAAATGTGATCCACTTAAGTAAAGAAAGGTAATGATTTTAAAGTACTGGTCTTGTAGGAAGATAAAACAATGTCATTATAAGAGTAATTCATGTTTATCTGCTGCTCTATTTGGTTAATATGGCACTAATTATTATTAATTATGTTCCAACAGTAGAGCACTAAAGTACTACTATAGGTGGTACTTTAGGTCCTCTGGAGTGAATATACAAAAATAGGCTAGAATAAAAATAACCATGAGAAGGAAAAAGATCCCCCCAACAGATTTAGAGTGTTTAAAAAAAACAAAAACCTTTTACAATTTAAAACAGTCTGTAAAGTATTTTGGCATTAG